CTGAAGTAATATCAGTAAATAATAAAAAAACATTTCTTTGATTTAGAAGTGCATTATTCACAGTTAGGGACGCTAACAGACACTGGCCATAAAGATTCATATAGTCATTCGGCACTGCCAATAATTGGGACAGGAGATCCCTCTGGCGGAGCACTCTCCCATTACAGCGATAAATATCCAGCCGGCAGTGGATGGAACAGTTTATTCCGAATGATACCGCTGAAAATGGCGGCATTCTCTCCACAGGTGATCTATGGCACCACTCCTGTAAATATTTCCGACGCACGGATTGGTTGATCTCTTCCTCCGGGCTTCATGATCCCAATCTTTCTATGTCAAGCTACATTTCATAGCCCGATAGAAGTATCCTTAAACTCATATGTTACAAATGTTTTATAGGTAATTCTGCTGGGTAAGCCCAATTTTACAAACATTGATTTCACTTCAATACCTTACGTAAGATTAATTATTTCAAATAAAAAAAAAAGACATTTGAATAACTTGTTTGCATAATATATAGTAATTATATTACATCTGTCATTCATTTTATCTCTGTTTGTTTTTCTTTTGTTTTCCTTTTTTTCTTACTGGTGTATTATACGATTACATGCATGCAATGAGGACCTTTTAAAATATGTAACTGCTGATCTATTCAGCAAGGTTTGTAGTCGGTGGTACAGACCCCTTTTTATCAAATTATTAACATCCGCCTAAAACTTTGTGAATAGCCTTTTTTTTTTCCTGTTCTTCTCTACCTTGCCTTTTAGGCTATACGGGGTTTTCTCGAGCCAGGGAATGAGGGTGGGGAATTTAAAATACCTTACGGCACCGGGACGCGAACTCGTACTTTTTATAATCTTCTCAAATCTGTAATCCGGTTGCCAAACAAATCGCGGTGCGGCCACCCCGCCCCTTGTGAATAGCTCTCATCGTAGCCTACAAATATTTTATTTACGAAAATTTTCGAAATTGGGGCGTTTTCAATCTTATTTTTTAGGGGGTACTCCCCTTCCTGGCCGCTAAGGCTATACGGGGTTTTCCCGGGCCAGAGGGTGTGGGCGGGTATTTAAAAGACGCCTCGGCACCAGGACGCGAACTCGTGACTATTTTGATATCATTTATCATATATCAGGTTGCCGGGCAACGGTTGTGCTGTGCACACGCGTTAGCCCATTAGGATATTTCTCCTACAAAAAATAATTCAATATTTAATGTTAATTTAAATTTTGACATATAATTGTACTTTTTTTTGTATAGCCTGTTCTTACAAGTATTATACCTGTAGGCCTCCCCAATCAAGAGAGTAGCGCGCTAACCACTCTGCTATACCGGCAGTCATAAGCCAGATTCGAATCTAGGACCTTGAGCTCTGGAAGTCAGTGTTCTTCTTCACTCTTACAACAATATTGAAATCCAGAGAAAAACAAAATAAAACAAAAAACCTAAATATTTCTTTAGATGCTTAGAACGGATGACCTACTTCAAGCTGCATTGGTTAGGTTATAGGTGTCTTGTAGCACTTCTTCCAAATTCCAATTTAGCTGTTACACGTTCCCTGGCTGCTCCCAACCTGCCGTGTCCTTTGATCTCTTCAATTCTACAAAGATAATATATTTTGGTAGGTGTACGCAGCTTGATATCCCTTCCTCGGAGCGTCCCTTTGTTGCTGAACGTTTCCCCTCCAACAGACACTTTGGTCTTTACCTCGGCTGACCACTCGTGAGATGGGGCCCACCGGAGCTGCAATATCTCATTAGGGTAATTTATTCATCAGCCCCACTAACCCCCCCCCCTCTTTTATTAAAGGCAACTTTTCGGCTCGCTGTCCGTGAGCCAACAGCCTGCCAACTGGCAAATTTAATTAATTCCTTCGAATCTCCTCTTCATCTCCCGCCCGCTCTAGTTTCTTTACGATCCCCTGAAATTTACCTTCCCTCATTATGTCCAGTGAATTAATCTCAAGTTTAATGAGTTGGCAAACGGTTTAAGTTTTATGTTGGGATCCTGTAACGCTAATATTAACAGCCTCAGATACGCCAGCTATCCCTTAAGCTAATATTTGACAAGATGAAAATTCTAAGAAATTTTTAGTGAGCGTTTTAGGAAAAAAAATGAATCTATATTTACTTTAATATTCTTAATGAACATAAAATAATCCTGTATTTTTCCCATGCATAAATAGTTTAATTTAATATGATTTATGTATATAGATATCCCTTATGCTACTTATTCGATTGGTTAAAATGATAATGTTAAGACTAGAGTTTATTATTTTTTTTAAGTAAGAAATTCTCGAAGTTTGGGGTTCTTCTAAACCATCAAATTCCTCTCTTAACCAATCCCTACAATCCAAAATCCTTCGTAAAATCCTCAATGCTCTCTACTTTATCACAAATAAAATCATCTATAATTATCTTAATGTACCATATATATCTGATTTTGCTCAATTCATATACCTATCCTTCAATAATAAACTTCTGAACCATCCGAACCCTCTTGTTTCCAACCTTGCTTCCTCTTCTATTCCTGATAAAGGCTTCTGAAAAGAAGATGGCCTCGGGACCTTCTAATATAGAAATATAATTGGAGTGCTACCAATGGGTATTTTCTCTGCATATTGTACATGTCAAGTTACTTATTTCATATTTACTAGCTGGATTTATCATTATGCAGTTGTAAATTTCTATAATAAAAAAAAAAAGGAAGAAATTCTTACATAAAAAGGGATAAGACAGGAAATATACGTATTTATCCTTCATGAAACAATTAAAGATCTTCAAAGATGTAGAGGTTAGAGAGTAAACAGTCTTTTAATGTAATAATGCAATTACTCATATTTGTAAAGGACATGTACATTGTATAGGCACAGGCTTTCCGTTCTGGTTAGGGAGGGAGAGGGAGAGAGCGATAGACTCTCAATTCCTCGATGATTCAAATTTATAGCGGGAAATGTGATGAAATCTTCACGAAAAATTAATGAATCATAAGATTCTGGAATGTTTTTCTACACATAATTAAATATGTATCTTTAATTATGTATGAATATCTTTAAATATAAACTAAAATTTTAATAATAGGAACATAAACCAACGAATTCCTATCGTATCCAATATAAAATCCTTCGTAAAATCCTCAACGCTCCTTACTTTGTCACAAATAAAATCATCCTTAATGAACTTAGTGTTCCTTATGTATCAGATCTGGCCCAATCTAGATATCTATCCTTCCATTATAAACTTCAGAATCATCCCAACCCTCTCTTTTCAAACCTTGCTTCCTCCTCGATCCCTGATAACTCTCCGAGGCGTCTGAAAATAAGGTGGCGCCGTGATCTTCTTGTGTAAATTTATTATTTGAGTGCTATCAGTGGGTGGTTTCTCAACAAGAGATTTCATGTTATTATATTCCTGAGTGCACATTCACTAATTGTATTTTTTTTTTTATATATATTACAGTTGTAAATATCAATGAATAAATAAAAAAAATAATAGGAACATAGTGAGTGGTGTGGAAATACTTGCCTTCCTAATTCTTGTCCTTAGCTAAGCCATCTAGTAGACTTTTTCTATTTTATTAATTGATATTATTTTACATATATTATTCATTCAGGTAGATTAATTCTTATTAATTTTATTTTATTTTTTTCTTCGAAATATTGGAGGATGGAAACGATATTCTCATTCCCTTTGTATCTTGATATTTTTAGACTGATATTAAAATTGGTATAATCTATCGAACTATATCAAATAAATAAATAAAATATAAATAAACTATCGAAAACCGATATTTTCCAATAAAAAAAAATTAAATTAAATACTTCCACAAGGACAGCCACCTGAGTGGTGAGTTCAAAACATGAGATGATTTTTTAACACACTGCCTGAGAAATATTGGTTTAAATTTGTGTGTGTTTAGCAATTTACAAATTTTAAATTGTTGCTATCAATCTATAACTAATCTAATACTTCAATACTATGTTAATTATATCCCTAGCTATCATTGATAGCTATCAATATTACCATTAGATGTTTATATCCCTACTAAACCTAAAAATTGAAAATATGGAAGCCAGATATATCGGAGTACAATTTCTATATATTCGAAAAATATTGATACTTACATTTCCATACAGTTTGTTTGAGATTATGCGATTGGATGTAATGGAGTGATGTTCGATTTCCTGTCATTTTCTATCCCGATGATGCCTGAATTGCTGAAACGTTGACGAGTATTTTTCTTTGCTTACATTTTGGAGACATGAGGCTGTGTGGTTTGAGTTTTTTCTAATTATAACCTGACATTTATGTTCTGCCTTTCGGTTAATTCGATACTAATTTATGATGAAGATTATATAAATCGATGGTTGTGGATTCAAGAAAAGCACGATATAATTATCAATGAAATTGATATACAAGGATATGAAGCAGGTTCTATTCTAACCAGATAAACGAGTTGACATTTGGTGAGATCAAGACAAGTGGGGACCCAAAGCGATGAAAATTCTGGAAGCCATAACAATATATATATATATATATATATATATATATATATATATATATATTAATAAAAATAATTCATTGTGAAGCTTTGTGGTAGTTTCCGAAATCTTAACATCAGAATATTTTAGGACCTTGATGCTCGCTTAAGGATTCGCTCTTCTGAGTGGCTCTTGTTGAGGTAATACAGACCAGATCTTCACTCTGTAGCGTCATCGTGCGGATACAACACGGTTTCGCGCTAATTCCATGTATCTTCGCCTAAAACATTAGTTCTTTCTTATCTGTGCCTCATTTTGCAGTCTGTCATACAACTGTCTTTCTCAGCAATCGGAGTCTTCTCTTGAAAGATACTGGTCCAAGAAGATAAAGATCTTATATATTTATATGTTTCGATATTAATAAGAGGTTATAGAGAAAAATAAATGAATATCTGTCACGCCCAACTATTTGGCATACTCTTCAATAAAAGCATACAACAATAGAATCACACATGTATTAATTAATTTATCATAAGTTTCTAATGAATATATAACCACTTCTTTTAAAATCAACACAAAATTGATTAAATTGTTAATTAGAAGTAAATTAAAAGTCATTTCCAAAATGAATGAGACTTCCGAATCGGAACCTTTACCTTCGTACCCTTTGGATGTGAATTATTGTGGTAATTGTTCCCTGCCCTTGGAGTATTGCGAGTACCATATTGATTACGACAGTTGTAAGGAATGGTTGGAAAAGAACCTCCCTTCGGAATATGCCAAGATAGTCAACCTCGGTGGCGGCGAAGAAGGCAATGAGGAAAAGAAGAGGCAGAAACGAGGAGGCAAAGCTATCGGCAAAAGCAAGACGACGAGGAAGGCGAAGGAGGAGAAACAGGTGTGCGTGTACAGAGCGCCCAGGGGTAAAAAGAAGTCGGTGACCGTGGTCACTGGTTTGGCCGGCTTCGACATCGACCTCAAGGTGGCCGCCAAGTTCTTCGGCACCAGGTTCGCCTGCGGTTCCTCCGTCACGGGCGAGGACGAGATAGTCATCCAGGGTGACGTCAAGGAGGATCTGATTGAGGTCATTCCTGAGAAGTGGGTCTGTGTGGAGGAGGCCATGATAGAAGACTTGGGCGATATGAAAAGGGCTCTTTGAAAAACGTAAAAATCATTAAATTTTATTTAATAGCTAATCGTATTGATTTACCTAGGTAAACTTAAAAGTTTCGCGTATATCTTTGGCTTATTGCAAAAAGTCACCAAGTACTTTAATTATGGAGCTGAATTATTATGAACGTTTTTGTGATTTTTATTGATAAAATTAAATATCTTACCTCTTGATGAAAAACACATTATTTCCAGTGGAATGACACGAACCCTTTTATATATCAAACATAGTTACAACAAGCGCACGATTTTATGATCTTTGTAAAAGGAAAACTCATCAAAATTCTTATAGATTTAAGGTTATGGAATATCACAGTTTCAAATTACACCAAACAATTATTTTTTCCAAGAGATTGAGTACAGCGGTGGTCTTAATTAAATTACCCAAACATTTCTTAGAAAATCTTTTTATCATAGCCTCAACAAATTGAAAATCAAAATTCATTTACTATACTTGAGCATTGGGCTTGGCAACTTTCGTTATCACCAGATAGAGCTAATAATCCTTTTTTTAACTTATCAATTTCCTTATATATTTTATAAGATTTATAAATTTATATTTTCTTAATTAAAGCGCTAGTTGTCCCTATCAACGACAACAAAGACAGATGAGAAGGGAACAAATTGTGTTTCTAACATTAACGAAGGGCAACTATATGGACTACTCGATAGACAATCTCAACTTTCAGTTGAGGATAAACTATTAATCTACAAGACAATTCTGAACCTATCTGGACCTTCGGACTCGAACTGTAGGGGACAGCAAAACTTTCTAACATCAAACACATTCAATCTTTCCAGTCTTCGAACAATATTCGATGCTCCCTTATATGTAACCAATAAAACCCTACACAATGACCTTAATATCCCATTTGTACTTGACCTAATCCCAGACAAATTTCACCAAAATCTCACTCACCATCCTAATCCTGTAGCTCAGTCTCTGTCTAGCTCCAGGCATTCCTACAATCCTCCTCGGAGGTTAAAACGGCTGTTGCCCCGCGACCTTTTGTAAATATGTATATATTGGAGTACTGGCACTAGTCAGATTCTTCACTCAAATCCTGAGTGTCTGTTGCTCTAGTGCCCTCCATCAGTCTCCACTGCCATACAATTGAGTACTTTACCAGTGACGCGGCAGGGAGAGAAGCACTGGAATCTCCTGGAGTCCTGCTTTGGCTTCCACATTTGGGGACAAAGCTTGATTCAGAGTCCCTAGGTCCAATGTAAATATTGTACATAGGTGTGAATGTGTTTTATTTATTTTATTACCAGTCGGCTTTAATCTATTATTTTACTTATCGTGTATATTACTTTATCTTTTTATTTATATGTATATATTTTTTTCTTACTTGGTTATTTTATTTATTTTTTATCACCCTCCAACTATACTACAGATGCTACAGTTTCATTATCACTTCAGATGAAAATGAAAATGAAATGAAAATATTTTCGTTATTATCCTGGGACTGTTGTCCCTTTAGGACAAATTACAGATACAGAATAAATTCCTGTGTGGCCATACATAAAATTAATTATATACATTTATTATTAAGATTAAGATTTTGAAAAAATAATAAAACAAAAAATATAACCATTACACTAAAAACATTCTGATATGTATAATACAAACTATAGAATAAAATAAAATAGCATAAGTAAAGAAAATCATTTCTGGGGGACTTTAAAAGTTCTCTTATCTACATTTCATGATCAATCGGGTTGGGAAAGGAGTAGGTAGTTAAAAAGGAGAGATTTAAATGAGGAAACTGATTGTACATGTCGGATATCGGGAGGGATGGTATTCCAGAAGGAGACGGCTTGAATTATAAAGGATTTGTCAAACGCTGCAGTTCGGTGGGAGGTGGATAGAGGTCGGAGGTACGAGATCTAGTGAGACGGGATTGAATGGAATATTTGAATTGTAGGTTGTGAAAAATATAGGAAGGCCGCTGAGTTCTGATGACTTGGTATAGAAAAGTGCCAAGGAAGTACAAACGGCGGTTGGATGGATAGAGCCACTTCAACTTGGTGTAATACTGAGTTATATGCGTATCTCTTGAGATTCCGAAAACAAAACGTATTGCGCTGTTCATTAGGCGTTTAAGTTTGGCTTCGAAATTCTTCCGAGTGTCCGCGGTACACCAGATTTATATGGAAGGAGATAGCGAAGACGGTTAAACTGTTTCAGGGTAGAGATAGTACGACGGGAAATTTGGGAGATGTGTGGTTTCCAGGAGAGGGTTTGATCGAATGTAACACCAAGGTTTTTTACGGAAGTATGGAATGAGATAGGAGAGTTGTTCAGGAAAAGATTGGGGAGTATCGTATTGATTTGAGGAGTGGGGGAGATCCGATCAGAATGGCTTTCGTCTTATTGGCGTTTAGAGTAATCCTATTGTGATTTGCCCAGGCACATATTGCGTATTACATTGTATATTGCATATTATATCTTCCTGTAATTTTTGAATCGCGCCAGAGGATTCGGTTGGATTGAAGTAGAGGTAAATCTGGACGTCGTCGGCGTACAGATGGTATTGACAGTGAAGAAAAGAGGATGAAAGATCATTGATGTAGATGGAAAAAAAGGGTGGGAGATAAAGAGAAGCCTTGTGGGACACCCCTGGACAAAGGTAAAGGTGCTGCATAATTGAAAATCATTATTTTCTACGTTTCATAACTAAAAGTGTATTTATTAATTTATGTTTATTATAGTATATCCCACACCATGGTAGATAAACGAATTAAAGCTTCGCAATAATTTATTGTATTCATTTTTGCTTAAAACACAGGTACAGGTGACAGGTAGTGTTGCCCAAAATCGGTCTTGGTCTTGCACTTTGCAGGATCAAGACCAAGGCCGCCTAACTGTTGCAAGACCAAGACCAGGGACTGGTAAAAAACATCGATTTTTTGAAATATAAATTAATGCAAAATAGTTACTAATACTTGTCAATCTTAGTTATTATATGATAATAATTAGTATAACCAATATACTTTTGCATACACTTTTTTAACTCCTTTAATTTTTCATTGGGGCTTAATTAAGTTTCTCCTATCCAAAAAATTACAGTAATATCTCTATAGTAATAAGCTTATAAGTATCTGCTAGACTGTTGCGCAAGACCAAGACCGTGAACAAGACTGAGTTTGTAAGACCAAGAGTCGTCTCGTTCTCGCATTTGGGCAACTTTAGTGACAGGTTATTAAATTTCATAATTGTTTTATACAGCTTGAGGCGAATCTTAACTTATTTCGTAATAAGCCTCAACTTAATTAATATGGACTAAAATCTTATTGAAGAAGATTTTTTTTTATAAAAGTGGATTATCCGTATTATAGTTCAAGAGTGATAAAAATAAAAAATCGCTAATAATTTATGATTAGTTTTAAAACAGAACCTAGTTTAGTTTATCCGATCAAAAGTCGTCTTTAAATGGTTTTAACAATGACTATCTCTACTTTTATTTGAAATAAGTTTTGGATAGTATACTATGAAGCAATTATTAATTACTTAAATTTAATATTTTTGTAGTTATCTCTTCCTATTAAAAAAAATACGGGGCTTATTTAAAAACAATACAGAACTTAAATTTCATAAATTTATTTACGAAGGATTTGAAGGATATTTAGTAGACTTTTATGACTATATTTTTATGTTTATGACTGTTTTTATTTAGACTTTTATTACTATATTTTATTTGAAAGAGGAAGGAGATTGTCCGGGGTGGCGGTCATAAAAATACTGGAAATGTGAAAAAAATATATTTTTTTAAAGCCAACGCAAATAAAATAGTTTTCCTCTATTTTATTCTTTTTATGTGCTTATGACTTTATCTCCTTCCTCCAAAATACACAACGGTCCAACTATCAAGTATTCTATATTTTATTTCCTAGTCGGCATGAGCAATGGGTCCTTAAAAGACTTCCAGTCATGGAAATGGATCAGATTCAAGAATGACAGCTTACATTTAATTGGTCAGGTTAGGGCCAGGAAAAATCTGAGGAAGCGTTAACTGTATTATGGATGACGGGATGAGTGCTGACAATCTCCATTATCTCGCTAGCTACGTTATTTGTCAGTTCTCTGTCTCATCAACTGAACTCTCGCTTTCAAATTTAAATGCAAAATCTCATCCCTGTCTACATTTCGTTGGTTAATCAATTAAGATAAATTGACTTAATTAGATACTGGTCTCTCTGGCCGATTTGTATGATCATCTGTTGTGCTTTAAATGGACGATTTTATGCAGTAACGAACATACTTATTTTTTCTTTCACTCACCTATATATTATGTATATAGTAAAGGAAAGTATTGCGATGATGGAAAATTTCAGAGTTTTCAACGAAAATAAACGTTTTCAGATCCCCTGAGTCAAAAAAACAAAAAAAAACAATCTAGCTCAAAAACGAAAATTCCTACAAAACTGAAAGTGCATATTTAAGGTTTGTATATGCCTGAGATATTACAGCAACTTTTCCATCAAATTTTCTCTAACGATTTCGATTAAATTATCATTACATCAATATGAAATTAAGCTGTTTTAATATAATGTACTTCCTTGTACTCATTGATGTTCTCTTACACTGCTTTAATGACTAATTTTCAAAATTTCTTCCATTAAAGTACCGTTATTTTTTTTATTTTGAAATAATTAAACATTTCACGTTGTAACGTGCTTTAAAAAATGGTTAAATATAAAATATGAAAGAATTTGATAGCCAACTAAAGGATAAATAAGGGGTAGTAATAATAGAAAATCGAAGAAACCCGAGCTTTGCCGAAAGGTAAGATTATACTTCTATACGTAACATGCGCGGTTTTCATTAAGGCTAGCTTTGGTATTATTTGATTAACAATTCAATAAACAGCCCTGTATGAAATAATACAGTTGATTTAATTTTTTCGTAGTGTCTATTTTCAATATCTCCTCCACACTAACATCTTCCCTGGATTCAGTGATAATTGTCTTGAAGTACTTATTTCTTGGTTCGTTAAGCTTGATACATTGGATCAAAAAATGAGTCTCTGGGTCAGTTACAAGGCAGTTGAATGGACCACATACTTCACTAGATTTAATTGTCAAAGTAGCATCTTTTTAGTATATCTTCACAAAATCTTTACTTGCTAATCTGAGACGACTAATTTGTTTGAATTCTGAGT